CAAGCCACGAAGAATCTGCCGTGCCCAGTTCTTGATGGCTTTCATATCCACATTCTTATGCTTCTTACGGTACCTGCACATAGGCAAGAGCCACATGAATGATCGCATAAAAAGGAAAGCACAAAGGTTTGATCCATAGTTAGAACATCAATTCTCGCACATTCCCACAAAAACCTTTTTTCAATAAAAATAAGCAACACAGATTAACATAGGCTCAATTCTCAATCATATTTAACTGTTTAAAATCAATGTCAACAAAATCAACTCCATCAAACCGTAAATCAAACACGCACTCAGCATTCAGAGCAAATTCAATAAAATAAACTCAGCATTCAGAGCAAATTCAATAAAATAAACTCAACTCGCACGTAAAGGAAAGTAAAAGTCTCGGCCCTTGATTGTTTTGAAGTTAGAAAATCAATTCAGACATTCTCCAACCAAAATAAAAACAGTTCAATGTAAATACCATAGGCAGTTAGCACGCATCCCAATCACACACACCTACCAGATCAAAATCAATAGAATTAGAGCATGTCTGAAAACTCTTAAGCAGGTGTTGATGCAGATCAGTGGAAGCAGCAATTAGTTACTTTTGTATCAATTTTGATGTGATTTTCACTCGAACTTGATAATGGACGTAGAACCAAACATGCACTTAAATACTGATAAGAATGCTAATGTGATTAAGATCAATTAAACACTCATTTCATGTCATGTCATCAAACATGCACTTAAATACTGATAAGAATGCTAGTGTGATTAAGATCAATTAAACACTCATTTCATGTCATGTCATCGCTATCACATTTAATTTAACAGATCAAAGTGAAAATCATAAAAATCAAAAACGAATTCTACGAAACCCTAAATCAACTAGCATTTAGAGCAAAATCATAAATCAACAAGCATTTAGAGGAAAATCAAAAACTGAACTGTCTCAAACTCCCCGAGGTGAACAACTCGGTGATCATGTTGATGGTGCCGGTGCTCTCATCGACCCAAGAATTATACAACTTGATGACATTCTCGTGCTTCAACGACTTGAGCAAGTGAACCTCCGAAAACAACTTTCCCTTCTGTTGCTGCGTATGCGCAACGTTATCAAAGCTGATTCTGTTCCACGCAACTTCGATTCCGTCCACTTCGTCAAACGCCTTGTATCTGCGCCAAACCAATAAATAAATAAAAAATAAATAATAATAATAAATAAATAAAAAGCGAGTTATATAGTGGGCAAAGAGAGAGGCGTACACAGTCTTGAAGGCTCCTTTGCCCAAAATTTCATCGTACTGAAGAAGCATGAAGCAGCGAAAAGCGATTAAACAAAGGCGATGAGAAATAAACAATGAAGAAAAAAGAGGTTAATAATGTACCCGCGAGTATCTGGAGGTAGGATCTTTCTGGAGAAGGTGGGAATCTGCCATGGCGCAGAGATAGAGAGGAGAGAAGGGGTGGTATCAAATAGCAAAGAGGGGAGGGTGGGGTTCGGAAAAAGCCTCGCAAGCGACGGAATATGAATCGAAGGGCGATCTGAAACGGCATTTGAGGGAGCACATGCTGTTGTTGGAGAGAGAAGAAGAAGAAGAAGAAGGAAGAGGATTGTATTTGTGAATGTGAAGGAATTGCACAGTCATTGACCCACACAATCCCATGATGCCTCTATATGCATCTCTCTGACAAAAACAAACCCTAATTCAAACCAATGAACAAATCGCAATGCATTCGAATTCAATCGAATCGATCCTCACTTCACCTCTGATTGATTTCTACCCAACTGCGTCCATCGCGCACGCGCACGCACACGCGCACACACACGCTAATTACCCTATGCTTGCTTTTCCTTTGGGGAACACAACACCACAACACAGCACTGAAGAGATGCGATACAATTTTTTAAAGCTCCATTCTCCAACTAACACTTCCCTTCCAATTATCAGGATCAACATTTAAGCTCCATTTTATATGTTATCCACAATTTTTAAAAAACAATAAATCTTATCAACAATTTAGCCCTATCACTTATACAAAACCCCCTACGTTTTTCGGTTTCTCCAAAGCCCAACCCAAACAAATTAAGGACGAAAACCCGAACAAACCCAAACCTAGTCCATGTTATCCCCACCCCAACTCTTAATAAATTCATCTCTCTCTCTCTTTTTTTTTTCTTTTTCTTTTTTCTATTAAATAAAAATAAATTAAATCAACTCTTATATATTAAATACTAACAATTATCTTATATGCAATAATAATTTTTAAAAATTTTATTTCATATCAAAGCTTTTAAAAATTCTTTTTAACTTCTTATCAAATTTAATTTATATTTATCATATTTATGAATTAAATTTTAATATTTTAAAATAAATTATCAATAAATAAATATAATTTAATATTAAAATATAAATTATCAATCTTTTTTTACATATTAAATATGAATCTCTATCTTTCACGACAATATTTTTAAGAATTTTATTTATAAAATTTAATTTAAATTTTTATTTATTATAGTTAATTATAATTAAATCTTAATATTTAAAAAAAATTATCAAAAAGTAAAAATATTGTTATGTTAAAATATAAATTATTTTTAATATTTTAAAATATAATTTTTATGTTGTTGTCAAAAAATATATAATTTATTTAAAAATATTTTTTTTATATAAATTTTAAATATAATTTATACATTTATACATAATAATTATTTATATATAACTTATTATTAATTTTAGTTATATATAATAAACATGTAAGATACATATTACATAGACTAAAATACTACTTCATCATAAATTTACAATATAATTTATATCTTAAAATATAGTATTTATATATATATATATTACTATAAAAATTAGTTATATATAATGTTACATTTTAATTAACAATATTATTTTATTCATAATCATTCAAAACATTTTATAAAGCTCGACAAAATTCAATTCATTATATGAATTAATTAAATCGATAAATTTAAGCTAGTTTTGCAAGAGGAAACATGTGACGGATTTTTTTATTTACACCAAATATGTTACGAGGTTAAAAAATTTATCAGTGTCTAAGCAATTACAAATACAAGTAAGGGATGGGGAGCTAGAGGGGCACGATCCCTCATTTTTCTAAAAAAAAAAACAAAAATGTATAAAAAATATTATGAAAATAATTTTATGGCCCCTTAAAAATCATATAAAAAATACTATAAATTAATTGATAAAAAAGTTAGCTTACACTTAAAAAAAATATATGTATGATTGAAATATAATGTTATAGACATATTTTATTTATCTTAAGACGAATATATTAAATATATCATTATTATATTTGATAATTATATCATTTATTTTATGTTATTCTTTAATAGATAAAAAAAATTAGCTACAAAAAAAAATGATAATTTAATTTTCTTCAGATAAAAGATAAATAATATCTCAAAGTGTTCAAAGTCATCTAAAAAAATCATTACAGTTTCTCTCAATTTATATCATAAAAGAGATCAATATCATTTTAAAAAATAATAATTTGATGAAATATATTTAACAATCGCATTTAATGCATTGACATCTTTTACAAAAAAAAATGAAGATAAAGAAAGATTGTAACATCCTAAATTTTTTAAAATTATTAAAAGAATATTTTAATTAAATAAATATTTTATAATTATATTAAAAAAAATTAAAAATGATTATGATTATTTTTGTTAATTAAAAAAAGATTTATAAAATTATTTGTTATATTAATTATTAAACATATAAATATATTTTATTTTTTTAAGATTAGATATTATGACTTTGATTATTTGAAAGATTTTATAGATAAGAATGTTTTAAGATAAGAAAAATAAATATTTCAAAATTATATTATTTGAATAGATATTATTTATGTATTTGAAGAAAAACAAGGATTTCAAAATTATATTATTTGAAGAGATATTATAGGAAAATAAAGATTTTGAAATTACTTATTTGAAGAGAGATTAACTTATGTATTTATATATAATATTTTGAATTAATTAATTAGACTAATATAATGCTTTGAGTGACATTTTAAAATAATAGTAATTATTATTCTTATTTTCAAAATAGTGAGAAATAATTAATTGAATTTTTGTTGACAAGTATGCATAGGTTATGATTAATGTTTTTATATAAATACATTAATAAAGTTAGTTACTTCATAAATATTTTTAATGTGTGCATTATGATTTAGAAAGGAGGGAGAATCATATACAATTTTGAAGATCCAAATAAGAGTTTAACATCTATCAAGATAAGGGGGTGAGAACCTTGCTCCAAGTGTGAGTTATTTGTTAGATAACAAGATTGACCTCTAATCTTATTATTTGTGTATGAATATATGAAGAATTAAACTCAACATTTGTTTATGATTGAAATATGTATTTATTGTCCTTGTAGATTCTAATTTGTTATCCTTTATATAAATTTAAACATTTTATATCATAACTCAGTATCAATTGAACTTTTATTATTTTATATTATTATTAAGAGAAAATATATTTTAAAAAGAAAAGTCATATCAAATAGGTAAGTTATATTAATCCCTTCAAATGCTAACATTTTATTCAAATTTGTGTTATGATGTTTATAAAAAAAATTCAATAATTGTAAGTTATTATATATTTATCTTTTAATATTATTTTTATTTATTATTGATATTATTATTGATGGTGATATATGTTCCTAATACCCCTAAAAGACACCGAGTTAAATACTTAAAAAAGTTTACATGGACTATCTTTATAAATGACTTGTTCTATTGGTGCTCGAAAGGGAGATTTTCAACTATGAGGAAGACATGTTTTGCATGTTAGTTTTTTAAATATTTTCTTTTGATATCCAATTTAGAGTTTGAAATTTGTTAGTAAGGAAGTTTTTTGTTATTGTTTTATGGCCTCCATGTCTTGAGAGTGACCGGTCTTGGTGATGAGCACTCTCATAGAGATGGAGGCAAGGATTAGATATTACCATCTATGAGCTTGGGGGTACAGATGTAAAAGACAAAATCTATTCATCCACTATGGAAGCAAATTCACTAGCATTCAACAAAATCATGAGCATTACAAAAACTATGCCTCATCAGTACAGTGATTTCATCTGCCTGTCAGAAACTCCAAAACAATTCCTTCACAGCAGGAGCCACTGCACTTCCTCAACTTTGTCAACTGATGTAGCTTACTATATTTGCACTTCCACATCATCCTAATCTATTTAGAAAATAATGAGGTAAAGTGTACAGTGATCTCATTTTGCTTTAAGGCTCTGGATGATTCCAATGCCATCAGACAGAGAGGGATGATGCATCATTATTTTTGCTGGGCAATGGGGTGTTCCTTCGAGATTGGCGTTTTGTGCGCACTGTCGCACTTTCAGTTTCCAAATCCATACTAAGGATCTCTTCGTCGTCGTCGTCAACATCCATGCTGTCCTTAAAAACAGGATGAACATAGGCATTCTGAAGATAGCCTTTCAAGTTCAGGTTAGGTTCTGTTGCTCGTTCTAATGTATCTTTCATCATCGCTTCCTGCATAAATATTTTGGAAAGAAACATCAAAATTCCATGAAGGAAGGACCTAGAGATTTAGATTTGTAGCAACCGAGTAGAGAACTCGTATACCAAGTCCATATTGATTTACAAGATACTTCTACTGTATGCTCAAATTAATTCTTTAGTTTCAGATTAAACTAAAGTTGATGTTATACTGAAGTTCAGTCAATTCACCATTTTAATACATCTGAACCTTTCACATTACACTAAACTTAGTAAATTGGCATCTGTACATTTTATAGAAGAAATGTGATATACTAACGGTTTCAGTTATATCTTACAAATAAAAACCCAAAAATAAAAACCCGGACTCTACCATCAATGCAAACAGTTCAAAGGGAAAACTGACATACCTGTAAGGGAAATTTCACAAATGCGGGTTCAAAGCGGCCTTTGCAGTACCTATGGAACCATATGGTTAGTATTGGGAGCACAATGAGAAATGGAGTTGATGATGCAGCTTTTTTGGTGGTGAGGAGCCCCATCAGAACTATCTGTGACACTATCAGTGCCAACACAATACGGAAGTGGACATCAGGCCAGAATGCTGCACCACTTTCATACTCTTGATTATATACATTAATGATCTGCATTTGGAAAACAATTAGAAGGTACAGACAGGTCTTCATCTCATAAATGGAAGAAACAATGTGCAACGAAAAAAGGAAAAAGATTCACATTTGTGCAACGAAAAAACTAATTTAGAAGCTCAACATAGATTATCTTGATAAGATTGAAAATAGGATTTCTTTGCAGTTATAGTTCCAGCATAGGGCTTCAACTGTTCAAGTGGTTTTACAGCAAAGGTTGAAGATAATCCTTGAGACCGTTAAGCCCCTAAAATAAAGAAAGAAATAGACAGACACTAGGGCATCTTGAAGCCTTCTCCCAACAGACAAGTTATTGGGATCACGAGGGGGTTAAACACTGGAAAGATCTACACAATAGGTCATAAACAAACTACATAAATGAACTTGACACCACATCTTATCCAAAACTTTAAGGTATTAGGTTTATAGATCTTTCTCACTTATATGCTACTCAACATACCTAATTGTATCTCATGTGAGACTCTCATCCACACATGCACACCAAAACAAGTTAGCCCATTACCTCGTGATGAAGTCCTATATCAAATGACTAAATGTTCCTAAACTGAATACTTTTTTCCCATTCCAGTTTTGTGAGTTTTCTAATTATCTTTAAACGTGTGACTATATGCTGGGACTCAAAATACTCATCAACTAATGGGGACTAAGCTTAAGCCACTATGGTGCTAACTGTGTTGTGTCAATTTTTAGTGAATGATTAATGGAACCAGAATCATAAACGTGTATATAAACTTCAATCATCATTGACTTGCACATTGTAAACCTATCATCTCTGTATCAGTACCTGATGACGGAACACAACATATGCCAGGCCAAAGAAAACTATGATGAAAGGAAGAACAGCAGGTGTCACTGCAGCATATACAAGACCCAACAAAAAGTACAATTGTATACGAGGTTCTCCGGTGTTGAAACCAATACTCCCTGGATCCATGGCCTCCTCCCTGTCTTTTTCAGTTTTGACCAAGAAGAAATTCTTCAAGTGATAAAATATTAGAGGTTTCAACATCAAAACTTCTGCAGCTATACTGGCCCATCCGTCAACCATTATGTAAGTGATGAAGAAACTTGCTTTTAAAGGAATAGCAGTGCCTATTGTTACAGGATATCTGCCAAAGATACAACACAAGTGTATAAAATTAAGACAAATTCTTCGCTCATTATATGCAGCCAAACTATGTGGGCGTGATTCATAATGTTAAAAGGAGTTATATTATATCATGAGCATTAACATGTACTTTGTGCAACAACATATAAAATGCACCCACAACACAGGAAATATAATAATGTCAATTTACGAAGTAAATAATTATCAAGAAGAAAAATTCAGAGTTTTACATACTGAATGACTTACTGGTTGGCTGGTTGGTGAATGAAAGAGCTCAGCTGTTGAAATGCTGTTCCAGTAAGTATGTTCCCAAGAAATATATTCACAAAATTGAAAAGATAGTGTCTAGAAGCTGATCTTCTCTCCAGAGATGATATAGATTCAAAGCCTTCAAATTTAGACATGATCATCAATATTGTTGGTAAGAAGATAAGGAACAGCTTCAACACAATACCGGGTAGAAAACCTTGAATAAATGACTTAATGAAAGGGCTGCACAATGAAATATGTTTGAATAAGTAATCTCCAGTGATACAAGAAAAATTATGTCAAGAAAGGTCCCACCATGAGATCAGGCTTACATTTTGACAAGTGGCTTCAGCCATGGTGCTGCTTTCTGGATTCCATCCAGACTTGCAAGAGTTTGAACAAATGCAATGGGGATCATAAAAAAGAAAGTGAGAAAAAAGAATGCAACAGCTATGATTAACCTCCTGACAGTGAGAGAAACATATGGAATTGGCAAGTTTCGCCAATATACATCTCGAGGCTCCGGAGCCCATTCAGTCAACCAAAGTGTTGGATTTCTGGATTGCTGAGTTTGTGCACAGACAGCAGCAGCCCATCGCGATTTAAATGAAACAAATGCAGCAGGCATGATAGACTTCGGATCATTTATGACCTTTTCCCTCTCTACAACAATCTGTAAAATCACTTTTACCATCAAGAGAATTCATAAAAGAAAGAAAACAAAAACAATGAAACCACAACATGGCTATTTAGAAATGATCTATTTTGCAGATATTGGCCTAAGTGAAATTGAATTAAACTAGTTCCTTCAACATTTGTTATAGTCCAAAGTTGATTAGCACAAATTTAGCCAGCATTCAATAAGTCTTTATTTCAATCTAAATGATAAAGAAAGAAATGCTGCTATGTGAAAAGTTAACTTCTCGAGAGCAGAATAACCCTGATGCACGTGTGACAAAGTAAAGATTGTAGCAAAACATTTGAGAAATCTTAGGCTTAGATGAACTCTAAAAAATTAAAGTCAGATTCCCATATAAGAATAATTTGTGTTTGTTAATATATTATTAATATGAAGAAGAAAAAAAAATCTATTTGAAGTTATTAACATGTGTAGTGAGATAAAATTTCTCAAAGAAAAGAAAATTTATGATACTTACTTCATTTGACAACTTGTCAATTTCAGTGATGTGATAATCAATAGCATCTACTTTCTTTCCCCAAAGACCAAGGAAACCAGTCTGGCAAAACCATATAAGAGGAAAAACTCAAGAAAAATGTGGTTGGTTATGATAAATTTACGAGAGAATATCAATTTATATTTAAATACCTTAATTTCAGGTCTTTTTGATGTTCTTTCAAGTTTATTTTGATAATAGACAAGCCAATTCGTCAACTTCTTTTTCTTTTTCACGAACTTAGCAAGTTTGTTTGCATCGTAAACAACCTGCATGGACATTACAGTAAATAGGTTGACATAAACTACTTCTACCATAGAAAAAACTATAATGATAATTCTGAAATATTTTAGAATTTGTCTATGCAATAATAAATCTAAATCATATTTAAGAACAACACTAAACAATTTGTCAAAAGGTAGAACAATAGAAGGGAATATTAGGTGTTATATGGTTTAAGAAAATATTCGGTTTCTGTTTTTCTCAATAATTACAGGATTACCACCTTGTTTACTCTGTTTCAGGCTTTCAAAAAATTGTACAAGAAATGGTAAAAACGCTAAAATGTTGTTTTCATCATTTCCTATACAATTGAAAATAGGGGGGAAAAAGTAAAAACAAGGTGGCTTTTTTTGCTTTCTTGTTATTTTATTGAAGCAACTAAATATTAATATGTTATGTATGGCACCAGTAGTGTTGTTGGAATTTACAAAATCCAATGGTTATAAGCCATATACATCAAAGTTATATGCATATTCGATAACCACCAGTTCCCCACCCCAACCATGCTCTTGCCAACAATTTTTTTGGTTTAATTATTAATGAAAACAAGACATGAAAACAAAAACAAATTTTCAAACCAAAAATTCTCTTAAATTTTCATAAAACATCTAATTGATTATATTATATATAGAGAGAGGGGGGTTATAATTACACCGGTGTAATTTTTATTAAGTATTACACCATTCAATAACTTTATATTAAATGTGAATTTTGTAAATCTAACCGTTAAATTGAAAGTTCATATCACTTTATATGTGTATATCAAATTTTGTTAAAATTGAACAATAACATGAAGGTGATCAAAGTGTTCATATTTTAGTGTATTTTGAAATGAATATATTACGTCAATTTTGTTTTATAAAAATAAAATATCAAATCATCTTGGATTAATATAAAATTTTGTATATATGATCTAAGAGATATGAATTTTCAATTTAACGGTTAGAGTTACAAAATTCACATTTAATATAAAGTTATTGAGCAGTGTAATACTTAATAAAAGTTATATCAGTATTATTATAACCCCCTTCATATATATATATATATATATATATATATATATATGCAATTTCAAAGTATAAGCACGAATTCAATAAACAAGGTGAAATGCAGTAACAAGGCAACTTCTGGCCATACGATGTCCAAACCTTGTACTACAAGATGAAACTTAGAAAATAGAAACCGCTCAATGCATAATATCAAAATCAGTTAGATGATAGACGAATGTACCATTTCGGCAGTGTAACTGTAAACAAGAGGAACCAACCTGGTGAGTCAGATAGTGACCTGGATGATTGACCAGAAAGAAGTGCTCCACAAGGTCACTCACAGATTCATCGGGGTCTGGTGGAATATTTCTTACAAGCACCTGAGTAAGTATAACATATTTCTGTAAGTAAAAATATGTATGATGCTAGATACTAATGTACGACAATTCAATCCATGGCTGCAATTTTCTTGACTTTGTCATGTATACAGATGCACAAGGATTGGATTGCTCTGTTCGAATAAAAAGCAGATGCAGCAAACTGTTAAATCTGCAACTGAATTCTACCACGAAAAATGACCAAGTACAATACAACGTCCAACATCTAAAACCTCAAATCAGAGCTCCATTGCTTCTTTGCAAAGATGCTCAAATTTGAAGTCTCATTGTTTTGAATGAATTTTATTTTTTGTGAAGTTTGCTTATCAATAAACTACACTCATTATGAATATGTTAATACACTAGTTATATTAAAAATAACTAATAAAAAAGAAAAGTAAACCACAAACTGCAACCACATAGTTTTATAGATAGACAATAATTTCATTTAAATATGAAGGATGAAAAATCCAATTTACCGTAAACTGATCAGGACGACGTCTTTCTGCTGCAAGAAAGCCAAGTCTCATTGATGCAACCTTTTCATAGTCCTTTAGCAAAACATAGCAAGTCCAAAAGGTAAATGCATAAGCCATTATTATGTGCCCCCAAAACCTGAGTAAATGCACAAAAATTAGTAGATAATTTAGATCAACAGATAGTAACTAATGGGCCTCGCAATAGTGACCCTACAATGTTAACAAGTGAGACGATGCATAAAAAATAGAACCGGTAATGCTCAAATAGTTTTGGTGAACTAATTGATGTCTGAGACCTAAAAACAAATATTCTGATGCGAAGAAAAGGTAATTTATATATAGCAGAAGCCACATAGAAGATGCAGCAAGCTTAAGGTTGCACCTAGACCTAGTTAGACACTAATCTAAAGCAACATAGTTGTATCATACAAGCCAAAGATAGATTTGGCACCGAGGCAATTCAAATTTGAAAAGACTACTCAAAACATAAAGACAAAGTAGCAGAATTGCAACAGCACTGAATGGAGAATTTAAAACCTTTCAGATCGACTATGGACATTTGAAACGGAGAGTTTATCAATGTCACTGGAAGTTATGTTCTTAATCTGGGCACCTTCTAGACCACTACTTGTCCAATTGACAGGAACCAGAACAGTCCAAGCCAGGAACGCTATAGGAACAAAGATTTTAAGCCTGCACAATAAAAACAGAAACATCAAATCAGAACCATATTATGCTTTGCTGAAGTGGTATTAATTCAATCTGCATACATACCCTATCAAGTAAATCCGCAAGTAAACAACAGAGTCTAATCCTGCATGGTCAATAAGCTCAGGTTCTGGCATTCTAAGTGCTTCTGGCATCCAATTGAAAAATCCACAATATGCCCTCCAGTCTAAATTGATGAACTTGCTCGCAAACGCTCTTCCATGAACTGGATCTGTTCTTAAACCCTTCAAATACCATTTTGGGAAGTACACTCGATCGTTCCAAGGTTGAAGCCTCAAAATAGCAAATGCTAAAAAGAAAAGCAATGCACTTGAAATGTTTATGGCGGCTGCAACTCCAATATCTGACAGCGTTGTCATTTCTCTCTGCAGAATGAATGCACACCTTCATGTGGTGTAAGCCAAGGGTTAGATTCATACAAAAGAAATTTAAACTAAACTCCTGGTGAAACTTTAACTAGTAAAAGCCATGGTTTTCCAATAAGTTTTATATTATTCTAAAATTCCATTAAATGAGTAGGCAAATGGCAAACATAAGCAGTTATCTACATACATATACAAGATTTACTAGCAAAACTTGAAATAAGAGTTTTATTTTTCATAATACTTTTAAAATAAGAAAATTAATAATTGATTTCTTATCATTGCAAATCATATATCCTCTCTCTTCCAAGTTCCAACCTATTAGTAAATAAACAGCATGAGATTCTGATCCCACAGAACTAATAACAAACACAATAATCAATAAGATACTTCTAGCTTGTGGTGTCCATAACCTAAACTTCCCCATTCAATATTGAAATAGTACTCAGCTCAAATGATACAGAAAAAACAAACCTGGATGATCAAAGGGAAACCCAAAATAATAATAATTATTATTATTATCAAAGTCAAAGCCTATCTTATGATCAGAAACAAGTAATGATTGAGTGACTCACAAACAGAATTCCCAAGCTCGAGAGTTGAAGATGCAACGTGGGGTGAAAGGGTGTTAGAGTTTGTGTATGAGTTGGGATATCTTGAAAGCCAAATAAAGAACACGATTCCGCAACCCTTTTTCGCAGTACAACACACGCCACTGTCACCAGCTTTGCTTCTTTGAGTTCAGGAACAGGAACCCACCACGATCACAAAAACCACACCTTCACGGTTTGCAGTGACAGAGAGAAAAACATCAAACAAATTAAAGGCAGTGAGTGATCATGGAATGGAGGGTGTACAACTTTCTTCTGGATTTCATACTTTTGTAGTCGGTTAGTTTTATAACGGCGTGTCGGGTGTGGTGTTTGTCATCAAATTTCAAATATCACATGATTAGACAAACATACATACGCACGTATGCATCAGCTATTCTTACTATTTTTCACAATAATTTTCTTTTCTATTTATCTTATAATATGCTTCGTATGGACGTTTAGTTTAGTTGGTTATTCGATTTCCATATATAAAAAAATCTTATAACATGCTTCTTTTCTATCTCTCAATGGTTGAGAACAAAGTGAATAACTATTATTCTTATGTTATGAATTTGTGCACGTGAATGAAAGTAATAGGTCCATGATAGATTTACGTAGAGATAGATATAATACGTAAATAACATACGAGATTGTGATGTTGATATTAAAAAATTGAAATTGTACTATCCGTACTGTCATGCCGAACTCGAGCTCGGTATCACAGCGTGAAATAACCTCGGACACGTACTGGGAGATCTCGGCCTAAGCGAGATCCGCAATCTAATCAGATCATAACTGATCTCGGAGATCTCGCTCCAGATGCGATCCGCAATCTAATCAGATCATAACTGATCTCGGAGATCTCGCTCCAGATATGATCCGCAATATAATCAGATCATAACTGATCTCGGAGATCTCGCTCAAGATGAGATCCGCAATCTAATCAGATCATAACTGATCTCGGGGATCTCGCTTCAGACGAGATCTACTATTTAATCAGATCATAACAGATCTCAGGCCCAAGGCCCAACACAACCCTAATTCACAGGTACGTGTATTATTTATACGAGACTCATACTCCCACACTAACTTTAGTATCGGAGTCTCTTTTGCAGGTACCACCCCCATCTTGGAACACCAGCGTACCCGTGAAGGAGGCTTACCGATCTTACCCGGCGAATCACCTCTACGGCAGATTTCCGTAGAACAGAAATAATTAACAATATAATTAGTAAAGAATAATTAATCCTTGTGAATAATAATTAAGTGGAAACCGACGTAAGATTGGGGATGAGGTGGCCTAATGGAAAATGAGTTACCGAACTGCGTATCCGTGTGGATAATGTGTTGCATGCGTAGGAACGGACACGTATACAAACCTCATGCCACACCCGTCAATCGTCGATCACCACCGAACTAACTTGATAAATCAAATCCATGTGATTTTCTTGCTTTTGAATTTGATTTTCTCATTTTAATAATTATGCATGTCACACACCAGTAGCGACCAGCACACGGAATGGTGAGTAATTGAATAATTTTAATGTAAATATATATAAAAAAAATTAAAAGAAATACAATAACAAGAAGAAAATATGAGTAAAAAAACAGAAGAAAATAATAATTGTACAATAAAATTAATTAAGTATTGAGAACCTGGTGGTCAATGGAAATGAGTAGCTGCGCTTGAGGATATTCAGGTTCAATGTTGTGAAAATCACGAATCTTTCTCAACACAATTTTTTTCTTCCAACTTTCCAAGTGATCACGCTCGATGAGACTGTTAGGAGGGAGTAGAGAGGAACAATTGTTAACCAAAGTATTGAATGCTTCTAAATTTTTTAAAACATTTAATGTATTTAGTTTTTATTTAATATTTCTTTATAAAATATATCATTAATTTATTAAATTTTGTGAATGTTGACGAAGAGGGATGAATGTTATGCGAGATTTTTTTTCTATTTAATTTCGTTTTGAATAATTTGATTTAGTCAGAAGATCAAACTCAAACATTCAGTCCAAATAATTCGACCTTGGTTTTATTGATTTAATACCAAATTATGACATTAACCAACCATTGTGCAGGTTAACATTTGTGGGCCTGGACCATGCGGGCCTTTGTAAGCAAGATGGGTTACCAACCGAAGACTCAGGAGAAGCAATTGATGAATGAAAAAGGAAGTGTTTGGTGCCCCACTTGTGACTCAAATCTTTCAGAAGCTATGAGGCATAATACAAGTAATTGTCTAGCGTTTTTTACGCAGGAGAAAACACGTCTGCTTCTTAATCGTAAGGTCAGAACAGCCACGCCTTCGAAGCATTTATAAAAAGCCCAGATCACTGAGCAGAGTAGGCAAGCATGTGCTTGACTTTCGGATGAGAGAGGAGTAACGGAAATGGTCCTAATTTGTACTATTGGTTTGCTATGCAGCAGAATCTCTTTCTGGAACAAAACCCAATCAGGCCATCTATTTTCACCACTCTCACTATAGCCACTAATTCAATTGATGCTTCTTTCAATTGGCATTTGTAAACTAAAAATACTATTGATAGTTATCAAATTAAATATATATATATATATATATATATATGAGGATTATAATAAAACTAGCATAATTTTTATTAAGTATTACACCGTCTAATAATTTTATATTAAATGTGAATTTTGTAAATTTAATTGTTAGATTGAAAAAATTTTACTTTTAGATCATTTATACAAAACTTTATATCAATATTAATCTAAGATGATTTGATACTTCATTCTTATAAAATAAAATTGACGTAATATATATATTTCAAAATATACTAAAATATGAACACTTTGATTTTTTTCAAGTTACTGTTCAATTTTAACAAAATTTGATATAAACATATAAAATAAAATGAACTTTTAATCTAAGATTGGATTTACAAAATTCACATTTAATATAAAGTTATTGAAGACGGTATTATTATAATCCTCCTATATATATATATAGAGGTTATAATTATACCGGTGTAACTTTTACTAAGTATTATACCGCTCAATAACTTTATATTAATTATGAATTTTGTAAATTCAACCGTTAAATTGAAAGGTCATATTATTTTATACGTGTATATCAAATTTTATTAAAATTGAACAATAATCTAACAGTTGAATTTATAAAATTTATATTTAATATAAAATTATTGAGCGGTATAATATTTAGTAAAAATTACATCAGTATTATTATAATCCATATATATATATATATATATATGGGTGAATATATTAAGCGAAAATACTTTATGTATCCATAATGCAAACTTTTACATTTTCAACTAAATACAAATATTCTGTTTTTATTCAGAGAAAGGCCTAAGGCTATGTACAGGAACTATCTTACAAAAAGAAACAACCGACAAATTTGTGAGCAGATGTAAAAAAATAAAAGCAAGAGGAAACCCCATTCAATCATTGACTGATTCACCCTAACCCTGTGTTTACTGCCTGTTGACATGAAAGGTCTTAGCTTCATTTTTCAAATTTCTGAAAGGCAAGAAAGTCTTATTCTTGAATCTTGATACCAAGTTACCAACTTTGCTCTCGTTTGGGTTTTTCAAAGAACCAACTAGAACGAAACGACTTTATAACAATAAATTGGTTAACCAGACTGTTTTTATAAAGTGGCTCAGTTCAGTTCTTTTTTTCATTTTCACACCCTCAAACCGTTTAGCTTTTATAATTCGGGTTGGTTTTTTGTGCACCCAGATATCAAGGTCAATTGAAGAAGTTTCCACAAATCAAGAACGTGACTAAAGTCAACAAAATAACAAGAAACATAACAAACTAGCAATTTCAACATAATCAATCTTCTATTTTTCTTCAGTATTACTGTACTACATCATGAAAAGAAACGGCATAAAATATAGGCTAGGGAAGTATATATGGTTAGCCTAAGTGAAATTATCTAGTTCAACCCAATTACAATATTAAACTACCATATTGTACTCACACTTCACCACTTACATAACATGGGCATAAAAATTACCCATTTTGTGTCTTAATCCTATATATCTATTTTCTATTTCATGTTGATCCTCCTCTAGCGAGCAGTTAATTGACAGTCATCCAAGTATCTTGACCATGGGTAGTACTAGCATGTCTGTTTTTTGCAAATTTGTCCATTGAAGAGAAGCCAACATCGTTAATATTACAAAGCTTATTATCTGAATCCGTTCCAGATGTGTTTTTCTGCTGTAGAATATGGATGAGGGACCAAAATACATCTATCCTCGTTACATGTTTGTTCGCCTGTTGAGTGATTTATGTTAACATACAATTTAGCTAAAAAGTTTCCCCCATTTTAACATGTGTACATGTACTTGTATTATTTGAACTCTTAACAACTTACCTCAACTATAAAGCGTGCCCATATCTTATTATCCCTGATTTCCATCTTTCCCTTCAAGATATTCAACCCAAATCCTCCAACGATGTCCACTATCTCAAGGAAGGAACCCTGCTCTTCAAAAAGCATCTGCAACCAAGTAATTAATGTCAACGAAATTAGGAGGTGTTCGATAGAAGGAAAAAAATCTCATGTCCAAAATCATAATTCATAAGAATGATTAAAATCTGTTTGATTGCTATCTTACCTCTATAAGCATTTGGCCAGGTGGGCCCATATCCTCCACTATAATTGGGCATAACATTGTTTGACCTTCCACTTCAAATGCACATGTAACACCACTACCACATTTTTTGCTATCTCCCACTTCACTGTCTTTATTAACCTTCCCATTTGCCCTCTCAATGAGCTAAAATGCAAATAAAACAAGTCATAATTGATAAAGAATAATGATGATGAAGAAAGAGCATGGATGCTTAATTTATTTTTTATTTTTCTTTTACTAGGAGAGGCAAAAGGTCTAATCAATTACCTTAGGCTTATTGGGTTCTTTTAGCTTGTCTGCATACTTGGTGATGCTTTGTAAGAATATCATGTGCCTGATGGTTCGGTCTAACAAAGAATCAATGCTACACTGTTTCATCAGCACAACACATGTTAACAACTAAACAAAAATCTAGCAGCAAACATTTCAGTAGCTAAGATTCTGAATAAATTTTATAGGTAGATTACCTTTCCACCATTGGGGATGATCCCTCTCAACTCTCCAATGCAGTCTTGAATTTTCTGACGATCCTTCGGTCTTGGTCTACTTGTTTCACCTGGATTAGCCCTCTTCTTGGTGACCTTATTTTGTTCCACTGACTTTTGAAATATCTCTTTCTTGTGCAAAAGATTGTTTGTCATGTCCAATTTAGGAACAGGCTGAGCCAAAGTCTGACTTACCAAGTGCTTTTTTGAATTTCTATTCACAGGTGAATGTTCTGTCCTCTGCTTTCTATTGGTTGATAATTGATCTTCAAAATTAGAACCATTCAAACACTCTTCAATTCCCAACTCTGAGAATAATCTCTTCCTAGATTCACCTACTGTACCAACATTCAACTCTGGAGCACAATCAGAGAAAGCAGTGTCAGTAGTAGTAACAGTAGTAGCAACACTCACCACCGGCGGAAGCATAGCCATACTACCCCACCAATCCTTAGCTTGGTCAAAGCTTAAATCATGTCCCATGATATCTAAGAGACTGTTTTCAGAACTATGCATGACTGTAGATGTTTCTTGACCATCCAAGTTGGTTGAAGCTATGATGCAACTATTATTTTGAACAGCTTGACATGTAACTGAAACAAAATCAGTGGCACTATTATCAACCAGACCAAAAGAAGTGGGATTAAATTCTAGTGACTCGTCCAATGAAGTCATTGTTCCATAAATGCTGGGGTCTGGAGAAGGAGCTAACAAGTGGCAAAAATCATCCATGCAAAAGAAATTTGAAAATTCTTCTAAGGCATCGACTTGTTCTAAGTCCTTGGAGAGTTCATGCATCATACTGAAACTATCAGGATAATTAACTTTTCTTACAATACTAGATTCAGCAGAATGTTGGATATCTAGTGAATTTCCCATGTGGTCTTGAAATTGGCCTATTGGGTCTAACAGTCTATTCACACTGTATAAAGAGGTCAATTTTGAATTCTGAGTTGCAACTTTGTTACTACACAATGCATTTGCCTCTTTACAGTGCACATCCGCAACAACTTGAATCCTTCTTTCAGATACCGGTTGTTGCCCCTGTGAATCCAATGATGAAATTTCGCCACTCCATGTGCCAAAACTGGGTTTTCTAGCAAATAAGTTGTTTAAAGAGTATTCAATACTATCCCTATCTGAAAATAGTGCTTGAGCTTCTATGGAAGGTGTCAATTGGTCGCAATGATGAGAGGAAAATCCAAGCATTGGTGTTGTCCCTTCTTCAAGAATCGTACCCATGGAAGGGAAGGAATCATTAAGATTTGCAAAGGAACAAGGATTTTCCAATAGCATTTCAAAGTTGTCAACATTAACAGATTTGAAATTCCAATCATACAAATTTTCGGAAGAAATGGAAGCTAACAGTCCATTTAAATCATAATTTTCACAATCCACAGATAGAACTGTAGTATTTAATTCATCAAGAATATCCTCATATTGTATCCCCCTTAGCAATGTTTCTGTTTGTTCCACAAATTTCACTCTCTCCAAAATCTGCAACAATGAAAATATCATAATCCATTAGCAGTCACTGGTAATTTAGAAGGAACATTATTATATAAATTAAATAATGAAATAGCTAAAATGAAGTGTGTGCCAACTAGAATTCTAACTTTGGATCATGTAACTCATGTAGTACCTCCAAGTGGAGGCACTTATATGGTCTGTGGAAATGTTGTTACAGAAGAATATTTCTTGAAACCAAAACAGAATACATAGAATGAAATGAATGAAAATATAGCATAGTACTAACAGCTGATAAAAACACGAGGAAATGAATAAAGAAGATAGGAAACAATATCACCATGCTAGTGTTGTTATTTATGTTTTCTTATTTACCGTATTGTGTTAGATTCTTGAAGGTTCCTGTGCTTGAGATGAAGTGTTGGAAGACTAACAAGGTTTAAAAAGTTAACACCACCTTGAGAGGATTTAGAAGGAAAAAAGTTAATTAACTTACCCTATAATTTTAAACATTTAGAGATTACTTTAGTTCCAATGCAAAGATACAAAATTTATGAGAATTCAGATATTGAAGTTCATCGGGATCAATCTACTTTTTCAAGCATGACGGCTTCAAATTTATAATGCAACTTGACAGAACAAAGCCATATGAATAAGCAAATTAGAGTACACACAAGAGCAGACTTTAAGTTTCTTTAAATTCTGTTTTAATAACTAATCATTTTCCTTATTAAATCATCCAGGGTATTCAATTCCCCCGTATTAATTGGCAGATATTGTAATTAATCCTTACCAAAGAGCATGCTTCCTTCATTAAATGTCAGATATAAACCTCTTTATAGTACTTCCTTATCCATTAATTCATAATTTATGCACAAACCAAAGTGGCATTCTCATACACATGATAAAACATGTCCATATGAATTCATTTATGTATGATGACATATATTTCAGGAACTTTTGTGATACTAACCTTGTTTTTGGATCCAAATTGTATCACTCCCCATGGTTTAAAAGATATCACCACAACTGTCTGCAAATCAGAATAGTTGTCCAGTGTACAATGTTCAGGACTTTGAAAAAAAGGAAAGACAATTGAGTATATTACATATGTGCTATTATTTGAGAATCACATATGACATGTCACCATGGTTACTTGAACAAAATAAATTATGGGAAGAGTACATGAAAACGTCTGAGACAAGGAGGTTCAATTCTCAAAAAAATATATAACTCTTGGTTTTTGATGGTACCTTTATCCCAGATGAGAACTGTTGATGCAAACCATAATCATCCTGCAGAAAGAAAGCAAGTTTTCTAGTGGACAAAAAAAGGGAGAGAGAAGTTGAAATGGCACCAATTAACAGTAAAAAACAATACCTCGCACATTTGACCATCTGAATCCACCCATTTGTGCTTGCCAGTCAAAGCAACTTGACCAACAATTCTACATATGACATAACAACAAAATCATCCATTTGTCTTTCATTGCTATATTTTATATGCATTTAAGTTTTACATAAAATGAATCTCTGTATGATAATTCAAAATTTGCCCTTTATCTAAATGTGTAGAATTTTTATCCTTATCTTAGTGCAAAAACAGAAAAACAATTACTATAGTATAACAATAGAGTGTACCCTTCGGCCATTGAATAAACCTGTGGAACAGTGTTGACAATCTCCTCTCCTAGTTGATCTTCATAATGTACATCTTCCACGGTCAACAATCTGCAAGTAAGTGACCATTCTCATATTAAAAATAATATACAAAAGAAAAAAGACATTTGTTAATTTATATAATTAATAAAGCAGAAAGGAAAAAAGGGTTACAAGGAATTTTGTGGATGAATGTGCCAGAAAATGACGTAAGACCAACCATCCACAGCACAAAGTGTCTTCAGCTTATTCCTTAGAGTTATAATACTAAGAGGCTCAGCCATTGCCATTTTATTTGCCACTAAACTAACCAATAATATATGCTTGAATCAACGATCATAAACTTGTGAATTGAAGTCATTAGGCAAATACTAACATAACAAGCTTTCAAGTGAAGCACGACACAAGAACAGTTGCTAAGGAAATGAAAAGAAAGAAAGCAAGGAAAACACTAATCAAGTGATGTTGGCTTTGGCTTCTTTTCACTTTTCACTTCATTCAGTTGTTCATATATTTATTTGTCTTTTGAGAAGTACGGCATTCTCGCCTTGTTTTTTCTTGTTCCCGATATCAAATATTCGCATTCATTTAGAATGATAAAAAGGAAGATTTTTTCTTCAAACCAACATAAATGGGTTAAGGTCAATAAATTCAAAATATTAAATGACAAATATATATAAATAATTTGAGAATCATGGAGATATAGCCCAAAATTAAGTAGATGATTGGTGGGAAAATTCGGGGTCATGGTCATCATTTTGTTTTCATCAAGGCTCAAGCAATATGCATTTAGATGTGAAGCATTGAAAGTTTCGATGAAAAGATTATCTCACGTTTATTCTCGAGATTGTATTATAATCAGCATTATTTTGTATAAGAAAGCATGGCTGTAATAAAATATAGAAACACCCTTGTCAAAAAAATATATATAGGAACATTAAATTTTACTAAAGTTATAACAAAATTTTAAAGTTCTTTTTTTTTAATTTCAAATTCATCATATATTCCAACTATTTTAACAGTTTTTTTTATTTTAAAGATTTTAAGTAGGAACCCAAGAAGAAAATTTTAAATATTCGTTTAGTTTTATTTTAAAAAATTTCGTTCAAAAAACAATTAAAACTATATTACACATACGTTAATCACTACTGTCACCATAATAGTGGAAGTTCGAATAGATATATAAAAACTTATATTCTCAATCATCTAATATCTTTTCTACGTATGAAAAAAAAAAATCACATATTTTAAAATTGCACTGCACATTCTAAGCTGGAATGCTGATATACGTTTTTTTTTTCCTTAACCTTAAGAAACCCTTTTTTTCGGGTGATTGAGTATTGAGATTTTATTTATTAAGTATTCTATACATCATCATCATCATCATTATTATTATTATTATTATTATTATTATTATTATTATTAAAATACAAGTAATGTGAGTTTTCTAAAAATCACATGATTGTTAATTATGTGAATTTTAATCTTGACTAATAAAATAGGAAAATTTAAAAAGGAATTAAACTTGTTTTTTCCGTTGAGAAAGACTGCCAAAGGTGGAGGAAGAAAGCGAATTAGAAACAAGTTATATTATCAAAGCAAAGAGGTTGTTGACAAAAATCAGGGGACCGGAAAAAAGAAACATAAATAATAGGAAAATAATTATAAGAATGCCTAGCCAAGCAATCTGTAACTGTGTTAGCCTCCCGCATGACTGGTTTGATTTTAACCAGCCACACACGATTGATAAGCATAAGACCAATACGAAGTGTATTATAGGAGGGGTGATCTACCATAAGGCCAGAATTGAAAGTCGATGCAACTACCATGGAATCTGTTTCCACAACCACCTTCTTGAATTTCAACGATCAAGCATGATGAAACCCAAATATAATAGTCCACAACTAAGTTTCTAATATTCAACACCCTTCAATCTTTGGACAAAAATCATTCACACAATATATATTATTAAATTTCATTCAAAATCAACACTAAAATTGTATGTAGTTATTTATACTTACATATATTATATCTATATAGTGATATTTTTACATGTTATTATATACAACATTTTTTGTAGTGGAAAGAAATCTCAACATTAAACAAGAATTTAAAAATAAATTAAAAATTAAGAAATTTCCAGATATGAAGAATAATATTGAATTTGCACATGTCTTAAAAAAGTATGATAAAAGATGTTAGTGACATTGAAAAATGAGGACCTATATTTATACATGTAATAAAGGTTGATAAAATATATTATAGTTGGCTATAATATAACTCAACCAGAGCATGTTGTGCACTTGGTTTGTCCTAACCCTATTACCTTACACAGTGGCTATTTGAGACAACAGCGACAAAAACTTGTCAACTCTCTGATTCAGCAAGTGTATTGAGTCAAAAGTAGTATAGATCAAATATCGTCTTCAAATATTAATTTGTAGACAATTAGAAGGTGAATATGCTATCATCAACTTGTAATAAATAAAAACTTGATATTGAGATTAAGAAACATGAATCTTTAAACTTAAAAAAGAGTTACAATTAGCATAAACAATAGGATTGAAAATAAATTTAGATTTCAAAGATTTTTGGTTTGATATTCATTCTATAAAATTTGAAGTTACTCTTTCTTATTAGAACTTATTCATTCACTCATGGTTTCAATCACATATATTCATTCAAATTGATTCCTTAAACTTGAAACTCTAAGAACCTTAAATCAACATTGATTCCTTAATGTATAAATTTAATGTTCTTGCATTAAGTTCATGGGTTTGTTAATAGATGAATTTGAAGCTATTTCTAGACATCAAATAATCATCAAGTTCTTAGATCCAGTTCAGATTACAAATATGTTTTTCAACTATACTTAAAATTAAATTCAAACAAAAGAAGCATTAAGCATAGAATCAAGCACCACCATGAATAACTGAACTTCACATATATAAACCTAAACGAGTTTACATCAAGATTGACAAATGAACTCAATCCCAACTGGGAGTGTTTAGCTATGCATAGTCAAAGAGAATGTAGATATAAAACTCATAAATTAGAAGAAGAGAAGAAGAATTGATGATTTTTGTTCCCAAGCAATCTTGTTCTTCAAAACAGAGGAAAAATCTGAACTTTTTTCTCCCACCGCTATAGCGATGGCTCATAGTTGCAGTATTGGAAAGTGTTTCAACTTGAAGTAATCTCCACAACTTGAACAATGATTCACTGCTGCGATGATGGAATGCCATGTTTCAAATCAACTCCAGACTTCCACATCTCGAGCGTTGGCTAGGCGCCATGGTGCCAAGAATCTATGGCACCTCTATTGCTTCACCGATGCAATGCTAGTTTGGGGTCATGGCACCAAGAATCTGATGAAGTTTCATAAATTCACAACTGCGACGATGGCTCAAGGCTTCATAAAGAATGTTTATTAAGGTTAATATTCATTAAATTCTAGCACTTATCATATGGCTATTTGAGTTAGTCAATGAATATGTTGGGTATCCCTAAACCAATGAGTATGAGTTGGTTTATGATAAGTAACTTTTTTAAGCAAGATATCAAGCACATCTTTAAGATTGTAAATGATGTAGCAAAGTGAGATTGGTATGTCACTCTTAAGTGAGAGATAAGTAAAAAGTATTGAACTTGTCAAAAGATTTTTTAAAAAAAATATTTGTCCAGTTTTATTTTAAAATAAAAGAAGTTTTGTTCAAAGCATTAATTAAAACTAGATCACACATGCTTGAATCACTATAATATTAATTTAATGGTGGAGGTTCGAATATATATATATATATA